CTCTTTCAAATTTACATTTTAAATAAAATTCATTCTATGAATATCATGAACAAGTTTGAATCTATGATAAGTGTGTAAGACATTTTGTGGTTAATGTAATTATAAACTTGACGTAGCTTCAATGAAATTTTAAATTCAAAGACCTGAAACAACCATGAATTGAAGAGAAACACATCCTTTCAATAAGAATCAACTAGAATTAACTAAATTACGATAAATATCTAAATCTACAAAAACACAACTGAACTGAATGAGCGATATTTGCTTCAAGGTCTTTATGTAGTTTTGGACTCTCGAGATTTTTGGCCGTCGAGACACGAATCAGCAAAGTGCTAACACAGAACTCTGCTGTGCACCGGGGCGTTGAGAATAATCCACAGAGACGGTCCGGTGTGAACTCACCGGGCCTCTGGCACCGAAACCTTTCCTCCACTGCCAGTTCTCCATCTGCCACCGGATCCACCGCAGAGAGACGCACCATCGCTGTGCGTCACTGAGGACGACAAACTCTCATATAGATATTTATGTTTGGTTTGAGGATTTCAATAAAGCTGCTATTTTAATGGGTTGAAATGTTTTTACCTGATTCTGGTGCAAGACTTCACGTATGGACGCTTTCTTGATCATAGGTCGTCCGCTATCCTCAACGCTCCTCTGGGGCCACACGTTGAGGATACCTGCTGTTTAAGGAACAACCGTCCGTCTGCGTCAGGGGATTTATAGAGCGCATGAAAAGAAGAGCAGAGGTCGTTTGGAGGCCACAATAGTTTGAGTTTCATTTATCAAGGACATGTGATTAGCGCGTATCCTCGTCGCAAGACGATTTGACGATGTTATCTATCTAATCTAATTTTAAAAAAACAGCTCAGACTCTTTTTAATCACCCAAAGTGAGAAACGTTTTTAATAAAAGCTCATAAGAGGAGTCACAACATGAACGTGAAATGAAATGTGAAACTTTATCATTTTGACTTTTTGGACGATGCCGATCTGGGCGAAGCTGACTATCATCGTACTCCTCCACCAACCGAGACATGTTGAAAATCTGTGTGCTGCAGACTGAAGTAGAATTAGCTAAAGCAAAGGTTTTCAAAATCCTGTCCATGAAATCATAGAGAGACTTTCCACAGGAGAACATGCCTGAGAGTTCTCTTCAGTGCCAAAGTTGTCCTGGGATAGTTTCCTGTGCACCCATGTGTACATATATACAGATAATATAATATAAGAGTAGGAGAACAGACACAATCATTTTTCTTTACTGCCACAAACGTTTGCTACATCACATTTTTCATGCATTGAGTGAAAATCACAAACCTCCGACAGGCCGGAACCTGTTGTTGACACACCACAGTACTTAGACCACAATAAAAAGCACAGTAAGCCACATGAGTGCAACACAAATGGAAATTACATTCAGGATTATTTGCTGCAACGTGAATTCACCCATCTGATGCAGATAAAGATGCATCAAACAACACTTACTGATGCTTCCTCCTTTATTTCAGAAAGTAACCCTTCCCCCCAAATCATGGGCAGCCTGAGCTAAGACCTCCCTACAAAGAGAACACCAGAAAGCCGGAGAACGTGGAGTACTTCCACCCGCCCATCAGGTTCCCCCTCTCCAGCTTGAGGGAAGCCTTGTCTCCTCTCTCCATCATCACCAGCCCGGCGTTGGTGGCAGCTTCCCTCGTCACATCCTGGTCACCAGCGAAGGCCGAGATCACCGGCCAGCCGTTGAGAACCAGACTCACCTGAGCAGAGCAGGTGAGACGACAGAGCAGTTCAGCAGTGAAGACAGAAAACGAGATGAGGTTATGCATCACTTCGAGTTGTTTTAGGTTTTAACTTACTAAAGGATTCTTTTAATCTGTCGTTCTTACTTGTATTGTCTGCCGGTTGTAGACTTTGACCACGTGAAAACTGAAACTGTAGACGCCTTTTCTGGGGGCAACAAAGATACTCCTCGCCGGGTCAAAATGGCTGCCAACGTTTACCAAGATCTATAAAACAAAATGATGATAAGATGTAGACGGAAAAAAAAGCAACAGAGCAAAGAAAATATATTGTTTTTGTTTTTGATTGATGGGGAAAGGGTGGATGGGAACAAAGTGTTCTACTCGGTGCAGTATCGCTATTGCAAAACTTGTGCATGGGCATGTGCTGGATTGTACCTGACGCTGTTGATGATAGCGATCAGTACAAGACAACATAGCAATGACTCAGATCCTGATATTTGTTATTGGATGCCGTCGTTGGCAAAAGACCAATGGACTTTCTGCATGAACAGTGTGATCAGGGACTGACGGCAGCAGCTGTCTGTCCACCCAGTATCCCTGTTGAAATCAAGGTTAGCACGCATGTGACCTTCAGATAAAGTCCTGTCATGCGTTTATCAGTGGCTCTGCAGTCACGGCCTGTTTTTCTAATGTCAAACCGCTTCTGCTGATTGTCTTCTACGTTTTAACAGCTACTTCGAACCGTGCAATATAAATAAAAATATCATCATCAAAATTTCTTTACAAGTGTTGGACGGCTGCCATCGAACTCTGTGCAGGCCAGAGAGATCCCCTGGTGAATGAATCCTCTTTCATCAGAGCCGATAGATTCATAGGCAGGTTTGGGACGTCATCATGGATGTGTTGACGTATGGACGTGAGCATGTAGCTAACAAACCGCTCGCCTTGACTTCAACAACTCTTGCAGCCTTTGCTTCATTTAACGTTAACTGTATCGGACTATCTACTGCGAATGTGCATCTGTGGTTTAGGAATCTCAGCGTGGCTCAAAAGGATGACTCACAGGCACCCGCATGAAAACACAATGTTCTCAGGTGGCATGTGGCATGACAAAAAAATTATACATATCTTCACCCACATCCATCGTGCTTGTGTTGGTTTGTGGTTAAGGCAAGGCCACACACATTCCAGATGTGATGTGCTTCACTTCTGCTCCACATTGAGCCGAGGACAAGTGACTTACCTCAGCTGCGAGGCCGATCTTATCCCCATCACCAGCGTGCATTAAATCCCTGCTGCCAAGATTTTTGTGCAAAATCTTTGTAGGGAGGTGAAGCTGGATGTGGCAGCAGATGACGGATGTAATGTGTAATTGTTTAAATCATTGTTTTTGCTGCGGGAAAGATGACAATCCAGACGGGGGGGGGTAAAAAGTAGTTTTGTTTATGTTAACCTCGTCATGTTGGTGTTGATTTGTGATCTTATTGGTTTAAACGGAACATTTATTTCTTTACATCACTTCAAGGCTGCTCAACCGATCATAGCGTGCTGTGGTCAGCCTGGTGAAACCCACCTGGTCAAAGTAGATGGTCATGGTGCGGTTGCTCATCTCTGAGGGCTCGTGGTTCGTGTTGCGGATGGCTGAAAACGCCACCCGCCCAGTCCCTGACCTCACCGACATGCCCAGAGCGTTACCTGACGGCTCGGCGGAGGGGGAGGAGTCGCACACCACCAGACACTTTCCCTCCAACACGATCGGCTCTGTGTCATTCTGGCAACTGACGTCTGAGGGCCCCCGGTGAACCAGGAGCAGCAGTCCAAGGAAAAAGGCCGAGCGGGCAGTGAGATATGGTGCAGAGGGAAGGCATGGGCAAGGCATAGCTCCAGATGAGAACGAGCTCTTTGTCTTTGCCGGCGTTTATTCACCAGAACAGTGACAGTGTCTGCAGCGAGTGAGACATTAAGTGATTTTATAATCCGTCAGTAACAGTCGTGCAAACGTGGAGACTCTCTGGAGAACAGAATATCAGTTGCCACCAACTTCCAGGTGACTTCCCAAGAACAGACAGGATGTTCTTTTATGCACAGTTAAACTGAAGGTTATCCAGGTCCTCAGCACTCAGCTGTAACAGCCATCAGCCAGATGGATGATGACAGAGTCCAAACCGGTTTGGAGAGCTGTCAAGACTTCAGGCCTGTTTGAAACAACCGACAAAATGACACGACTGAGGCTTCAGTTTCAGAGGAATGCTGATTTATGAGAGTAAACGCAAGAAAACAGAAAAAGCACACGTGCAGTCCCTACACATGTTTTTAACCTCTGCGGAGGAAGATTTGTTTTTGTCTGCGTTATTCGTTTGTCTGCTAGTTAGCAGGATTATGCTCAAACTACTGGATTACTGCAAAACCTGGTGGAGGGACGTGGTCAGGACAGAACCCATCAGAAAACAATTTAACGGATCTTGATGAAAATAAATTATATTTATTTAAATGTGGTTTCATGAAGTTGTTCTCATCGTGACAAGTGCAGTTGAGGTTCTAATAGACGTGTTTTGGCACCATGTGTGAAGCTATACGCAGAAAATAATTAGTCGCACGTGTGTATAGTAGGTTTCACTATATTGCATTTATAAGTATTGAGGTCAGATACATCCATGTATTTAACTGGGTCGGCATTCAGTTAATAAAACATATGAACAAGGTCAATGAGGGAGAACATTCCTGGAAACCTACAGAACCTGTAGAGAATACGTTTAAAAGTTCATATGCACGCACTGCTTTAAAGCAAATGTGTATTTCTGCATATAATAATAATAACATTCATGATAATGATGAAATAATAAGGATGATATAATAATKATTCCATTAAGTTTAATCCGTCCAGTAAATAACAAACAAACTCACATGAAAACATTATCGCCCGACAACACAACACAGGACTCCTGAGGGTTAATCCACAAAACAAGGTTTAACATTTGTTCGTTGTATATTTATATATATATATATATTTATATAAGTATTGACGTGTTGAAGTCACTAGACTGACAACTGACACAATGACACGACTGAGGCTCCAGTTTCAGAGGAATGCTGATTTATGAGAGCAAACGCAAGAAAACAGAAAAAGCACACGTGCAGTCCCTACACATGTTTTTAACCTCTGCGGAGGAGGATTAGTTTTTGTCTGCGTTATTCATTTGTCTGCTAGTTAGCAGGATTATGCTCAAACTACTGGATTACTGCAAAACCTGGTGGAGGGACGTGGTCAGGACAGAACCCATCAGAAAACAATTTAACGGATCTCGATGAAAATTAATGATATTTATAAGCGTGGGAGATTTGGTGCAGGTCCAAATAAAAATCTGTATCTAGTGAATTTAAATGTGGTTTCATGAGGAACACAACGAAACTCAAACTATCCGACATTGCGAAGAATATTAAAAGAGCAGCGATGAGGTAATGCTTTGGATGTGTGTGGTGCCAGCTGGACTCAGGAGGGGGAGCGGTGGACTATCACCATCCCACCACTGAGAGGCCATCTGTGGGTAAACACTCCCAGTCTCTCTGCCCCATCATCCCTCTGCACTTGCATTCCTTTACAACAGATATCCCAATATCATCTCAACTTATATCTGCAACAAAAGAACAACACAGTTTATGTTTCATGCACTTTAGCTTCGTTAACCTTAAATAAAATGATGACTCGTTGTTTCCTTGCAGGGAAACCAGAAGACTTGAAGAAGAATCAGAGTGTGCATCTCTACGGTTAGAACTTCAACAACAAAGCCAACAACAAAAAGCACAAAACCGTCCTTTGCAACATGCAATAATAAATTGTACTTGAAAAAAAAAACCACCCACCTCTCACGTTAACTTCTGAGTTTGCAGGTTTCCTTCTGTGAAGCTCGAGCATCTCAAGAGTCCAGTTCCCCCCTTCTACCGTCAGCTTTATCCCTGTTCCTCTGTTTCTCCTTTCTCTCTCTAATTTCCTCTCAGATCCAGGAAACCCTAGTGTTGGAGCAGACGTTTAATCACATCACGAGTACGCAGCCCTTCTGTTCTCACGGCTCCTCCACCGCCTGCTGGGCCCGATTCCCCCTCCCTCACGTTCTCCTCTTTTACAGCAGATATCAAACACATCGGTTTGTGGAGCATGTGTGAAATCAAAAGTCTCACAGACAGATTCATCACTTTACGGATCCCCGGGGGGGAAATGAAGTTACATGAAGTTCAGAACCAGGTTGGTTTCATTCATTTTAAGAACTCAGTGGTACACATGTGTAGTGGAGCAGCAAAGGAACCATCCAGAGTTTGTACTGTAGCGTGTTGCGGGTAAACAGGCCTCCCAGCATGCAACGTTGATAATCTGGGCACGTGCCATTAGTACTGAAGTTGTTCTCATCGTGACAAGTGCAGTTGAGGTTCTAATAGACGTGTTTTGGCACCATGTGTGAAGCTATACACAAAAAATAATTAGTCGCACGTGTGTATAGTAAGTTTCACTATATTGCATTTATAAGTATTGAGGTCAGATACATCCATGTATTTAACTGGGTCGGCATTCAGTTAATAAAACATATGAGGGAGAACATTCCTGGAAACCTACAGAACCTCTGTAGAGTATACGTTTAAAAGTTCATATGCACGCACTGCTTTAAAGCAAATGTGTATTTCTGCATATAATAATAATAACATTCATGATAATGATGAAATAATAAGGATGATATAATAATKATTCCATTAAGTTTAATCCGTCCAGTAAATAACAAACAAACTCACATGAAAACATTATCRCCCGACAACACAACACAGGACTCCTGAGGGTTAATCCACAAAACAAGGTTTAACATTTGTTCCTTGTATATTTATATATATATATATATTTATATAAGTATTGAAGTGTTGAAGTCACTAGACTGACAACTGTAATGGAATCTGAAATGATGTTGAAGATAAAATTCAAGTCACAGGTGAGAGAAGCAAATGAATCCTGTGGAGTAAAGTTAAGAAAGTGAACGACTGAGAGTCCTGTCGGCTTCTCATGTGGCTGTTCACAGTATTTGGTGTCTTTAGTAGGAATGCGAGCAGGTGAGTGTTCACAGGTGTGGTGTCTTATGAATGTAACTGATATTCCTGGGTCAAAGATAAGCTCTGCCAGCGACACACAAAAGCTTTCTTATAACTTCGAGCTCCACCCAGGTTCAAGTTTCACTTTGCAGCTTCTGCCAGAAATGAACAAATGTTTGTGATTCTTTAGATTAGTTACGAAATCTCCACCGCACCTCAGTCACGATTTTAAGCTGCCGTGAGACAGAACTCCGGAGAAGCTTTGGACGCATGTGAGGACGCAAATGTCCAATTGAGAGACTTTCTGTAGTTATTTTAAAAACAGCTCTAGAGAAAAGAATACAAATATCTCAGGATGACACAGAGGGGACATACATGTAGCTGCTGCGTTGTTCATGTGTGAGACACAAACTCTGGAGAAAGTCAAAGTGCTCCGGTGAAGTTTAGAGGAATGCTTTGGTACTTTTCAACACCTCTGATCGTATTTCTGTGCCATCAGGTGAACATGCACATAACATGAGTACTTGTGCACAGACGGCTCATGTTTGAAATATAAAAGTCTGTTAAAGTTGTGTTGCAGCTTATGAAGATGTCAAGAGACAAAACAGATTTAATTTTTGCATTTTAAACAGAGTCCGCAGGAGTTGAAGAATATAAATGACAAACCAGTTTATTTTTTAAAACACATCTTTTATCTCCAGTTTATCCGTCACACATTTAGGATATGGGTTTCAAATACTGACAAACAAATTTAAAACAAATTGAAAAAAAAAACATTTACACACATTTATATACACAAGTTTGGAATCACGGTGTAAAAAAAAAAATTCACATTTAGACTTCAAAAGAGTAAGACTGTCGGGAAATCAACACATCGTAAAAAAAGTTTTTTTCAAAGCTACATATAGCTAGCTATAATTCGGAGTTTTTGAAGTGGTGAAGCGGGCGTGGCCTATCACTTCTTTGCTCATAACTCTCTCTAGTGCGTTTCTAGTTTAAGCAGAGAAAACTTGGCCTGTTGCACGTCAATCTAAACCATAGTAGGTTAATGAAGCCGCTAAACGTTTTCTCATTGTTGGCGTTATTCCTTCGCGTCGCACATTATACGTCTGACTCAATGATTATTTCCTGTCTGTCCCCGGCGCTTCTCTCCGGAGGACAGATCACCAGCGGGGTTGAGTTCTTCCCGTTGTCTTGAACACAGGGATTGAAGTAGGGCTTCAGAGGCTCGGTGAAAGGACACCCGCTGTACGTGTAGATATGAGTCTTTGTCTCCGCGTTGTAGAACGACACCGACCCCCCCTCGTAGTCCAGGAATATGCCCACTCTCTGAGGGGTTTCCTGGGCGTGGATGGTGATGGAGGGGCTGGTGCAGGCGCTCAGGCTGCCTCCCTTACGCCTGCAGATCGCCCAGTAACCGCTGTCGGGACGCACCGTGATGGTTCCCTTTCTGTTGATGGACTCTCTGGCCACACCGAGATCCCAGTCGGTTTTATCCCCAACCTGGAACACGCAAAAGGATCCAGAATTTAAAAAATACAGTTTTTAAAATAACAACAAAAGAACCTCAGTGTGATAAGCTCAACGTAAAACGGCGAGAGAGCTTCTTTTGAGAAATGTTTATTTCATGACTGATACCGCAGCTCCAGATCTGGGATGTGATCTTTAAAAAAACAACAACACACTGAACGCACAGTTTCCACGATTGTTGGCTCGTACCTGAACTTCCCAGTAGCGTCTTCCACACGTGAAGCTTTGTTTCCCCAGAACACAGACGCAGGTGTCAAACCGCTGAGGGCTGTCTGGTAGTGAGGTCTTTTTCTGGCTGCTGAGGCTCACCTGCAGAACAATGGAAATAATGTTATCATCGGCCTAATCAGCAGCATTGTCTACAAGGTGCCACTTCTGTATTCACAATGAGGTTTATCTCCACGTGCTCATGAGGAACATCAGACAGTACCTTCTTTCCATCTGGAGACAGGACCAGCCAGCCTGAAGCCGTCACGGGATCCAGAGTCACGTCCACTGCAGAGATAAAGACAACTGTGAGTCCGGTGCACAGGACGAGATGCTAATCAAGACTGAACTATGCTACTGCAAAAAAATTAAAAATTAAAAAAAAGAGTGCATGATTCTGAACACACCTGCATATTGAGTCATCTTGTCTGTTTCTGCAAACAGGGAGAAGAAAAATGTTATTTTCATGCGTTCGCTTCCAACAACGAATCTTTGGTCACTTTGAAAAATTCAACACTGACCTTCTGCTGAGAGTTTGTCCACAACTTCCTGACAAACATCCACCAGAGCGGAGACGGCTCTCCTCACCGTCCCCAGGCAGTTATCGGAGTGGACCGTGACCTCAGACCACTCTTTAGTGGACGGGAGACCGCCGACAGACCGGAAACCCTAAAAACAGAGACAACAAATGTTATCTCACGAGTTCAGCTGTTGACGTGTTGATGCAGCACAGACGTTTCGAAATGTAGATTTCTGACCTGCAGGATGTGAAGAGGGTTCTGAGTGAGCTCCAGGTGATGCAGCTCGCTGCCCCTCGTCTGCAGTTCGTTGATTTCACGCTCCAGCTCTTGAAGCATCTGCTCCGCCGTCCTCTCTGTCTCTTCCTGTCTCTGCTTGAGCTCGTCCACCAGGGCGGCCTCTCGTTTGTGGATAGCAGTGGTCAGCATGGCGCAGACCTGAGCGCTGCTCAGAATCTCTCTCTCTGTGATTTTCTTTCAAGTGAAACAAACATTTTCACATAAATTTACAGAAAAAAAACCCCATCAGTGTTGTGAATCGACTGGTTCTGAGCTTTCATCTAAGAACCAGAGCAGAACTCACTTTGCCGAGGTCGACTGAATTTGCGATCTCCTCCATTTTTCTCAGCCTGGCCTGGATCATCTGCTGAATGTTGACCTTTGTAGCCCTCAGTTGAGACTGAAAAACAAAATCAAACAGCATGAAATTTTGAGTTGAGACTTCACGGGAACTTTCCTACTTGAAGAAAACACAAAATACTATTTTGACGCAGATAAATCAAATCAAATTTCTCCTCACCTTAACCCTCTTGCTTTCCTTCTCCATGGGGACGACCTCGTGGTGTTTATGGATCCCTGTCTTGCAGCCCACGCACACCGGCCTCTGGTCTTTCTTGCAGAACATCGTCAGTGGCTGGTTGTGGTTTCTGCAGAGGTGACTGCTGGTGAAGGTGGCCGGATCCGTCAGCCGGTGTCTCTGCAGCGCCGGCACCTTCAGGTGAGGCGTCAGGTGAGTTTCACAGTACGACGCCTGGCAGACGAGACACGAGCTGATTGACATTGACTTGTTCTTGTGGCAGACGTCACAGGGAACTTTGTCAGCGTCACAGAGTTGGTTTGGTTCCACCGCAGAGTCGACATCCTCCTCTTCTGATGCTCCGGGTGACAAAGACCTGTTGAGTTTAGATTGAATCACGTTAGACTGCAACCAAATCAACCAAATTCAATTATATAGTGACTAGTTATATAATATTCAAAACAAACCTTTCGATGAACTCAATGATTTCTGCAAATTCTCGGTTGATCCTGAGCTCTGGACGTTTTCTGTACATCTGTTTGCACAGCGGACAGTCGGACTTGCCCTTCGTATCCCAGTAGCCTTGGATGCAGTCGAAGCAGAAGTTGTGTCCACACGGGATGGAGACGGGACTGTTGTAGATGTGCAGGCAGATGCAGCACTTGAAATGCTCCTCGAATACGACAGGTGAAACGTTCCTGACTGGAAGAGTGAGACAGTATTTTAATCAGACGTCTGAAGGTCGAGACATAAAGTTTCACATCGTGCAGGAAGATTCATCTCTTGAAATGTGTATAAACCTTGCTACAAATACATCTAGATAATCTTACAAGGGATTAAAAACACAGGGAACAGGTTGATATAACTATTTCATTCCTTCTTCACCAGCACTAAAGTTTATCAAAAATCCCATAATACAATCAATCATCTCGTACCTGATTGGGTCGACATGTTGTCGGGTCGGGTTATCCTCATCATATGCAGCAGACTGAAGGTGTGAGTCTTAAATAGTCCAGTCAGGGGTAAGTCACATTGTGTGAATGCCTGAGCTCCGCCCCCTCTTTCCAGTCCTCACTGAGTCATTCTGGAATTTCTTGAGATACTTGTCACTTGGATTTGACACTAGGTCACATAGTCAACCTCCGATGGAGCAATGACCCGAGAGATGGAGAGAAGGGTTGGAAACAGGTGGTGCAACTCGACATCACATGTGTTTTCTCCTCCTACTTTAATACACTGCGTCTTTGTATCCGGTTGTTTGTTTAATTGAGCAACAAGATAAATTAACACGCTTCAGAAAAGTTTCAGCCACGAGAGATTAACGTTAGAGACGAAAGGGGGGGGGGGGGGGGGATGACAGAAAGTGGGATGTTAAAGGTCAAAGGTTAAAGCTGCAGTGTGAAAGATTGACAGAAACTGAATATGAAATAATCCTGATGATGTTCTAACAATGTTTCGTCAACGTTACAAACAAAAAACAAGAACACAGAAAAAAAAAGTTCAAAAAATGAGGAAAACTCAAATCTATGTTCAATTTCTTTGATTTATATGTAAATGTCTCCACCAGTAGGTTTTTCTTTCATTGCTGTTTGCAGGAATATGCAAAAACTTTGTTTTAATGTCTTCGGTGAAAGAAGCAGATCCAGGAACTTGTATTCTCTTTCTTTTACTCAACAGAATTAGTATCTGTGAACAAATAGTAAAATCAGTAAATCAGTACATACGTAAATACTGATGATAGTTAAATCCACTGTGTTTGTTTAAAACGATGTTAGAAAACTTAACATGCCTTTAGATCCTTTTTGCGACCTGCATCAACGTGAGAGGTGTAAATCCATCATTACACCTGTCAGCTCCTTTCAATAGACCTGATAATTGCTGCTGTGAAACTGGGATGACAAGAAACACTTTGGTCCCGGGCCAGGTCTTCTTCTCACATTTTCAGAGAAGTGAAACTTAAGCGATACAACAAGCTGCGTTGTTCTTTAGATTTTTGTTTCAGTTATTCAGAAACTTAAAGTCAGTTTTGCAGGAACCTGTTGAGCAGAATTCCACGTTTCGGAAGAATAAACAATAACATCTCAAGCTATGTACATTCATGCCAGCAGCAGACAAGATTCACTGAGAGAGATTTCATCTGCTCGGCTTTTTCTTTTGTCAAGTTTTTTAGCATACGAATAAAAAGTATTAATTCAAAAGGAAAAATTGGACTCAAACGCTGCTGACATCACAAACTTTCGAAACCACTGACCATCACCTCATCAAGGTTCTTTGTGCTAGTTGTGCTCTTGGTTTGCAGAATTTTAAAGGTTTGTGTTGAAGCAGATTACATGGATATAAGAATCTGTAGTTTTTGAATAACGCAGAAACTCCCGGCTGTACTTTACTGGGACTGAGTATAATTGTTGTTGTCACTTGGAAGAAAACTAATTAGCAAACTACTCATTTCATTTTTCTAGTGGAAGAGAAGAAGAGAGAACTTTGTCACGGATTTAGAAATTAGGGGCCGATCCAGGATTTTCTTTTTTATCACTTTCCGGAATTTCAGGGAGTTTTCACCTTTTTCTCAGTGAATAAAAACTGGAACTTAATGAATCACGTATATTTAGGGAACTGATATCTATGAGCTTACAATTCGATTCACTCACGCTCAACCGAAGGATTAGTTCTAGTTTCAAAATTGAATGAAAAGTTGTTTATTGCCACATTTCATGAACTGAGTGATTCTGTGACGCCCACTCATTAAAAAGCTTTTTCTACATGTCGTGCTCTCTGGTAATGTGGCGTCGATTTATACATATTTACATGAGACAGCGGCACGTGTAAAAACACTGAACCATCCTTTAACTCAATTAAACGTCCAGCCCTGTTAATGATTAGATAGTAGTAATTTCCCCACGCCACGTGTTCTTTAAACTGGATCTATGCACCTCACTGAAATGATGTCACCTGTTCTCTTTGATTTCACCCGTGCTAAGTCCGTCTGTTGAGCTTAAGAAAGAAATCAATCAACTTTTCAACGCAGACGTCAAATATGAAGAAAGGAAAAGAAAAATGCAGCAGAGCTCGATATATTTCACAATAAGATGAAAGTACCACAGACTCTTTTGAAAATCTGCGCTGCTTCAGGTTTTCTGTTCAGTTTACAGCAGCTGAAGGAAAGTGTGGAAAACAAAGTGGATTAACCAGCGAAACAACAATGGCGGACTATGAATCATACTCATCCAGGAACAGAGAGACTCGACTTGAGTCAAAGGCGGGAAGTGACTCACGGAACAAATTGCAAAAGCATTGATTGAAATTAAGACTCAAAGACATTTTGTTTACAAGTTTACACAGTGGAAAATCACCATTACAACTAATTAACTAACTAACTAACTCTAATATCCTTCTGAGTTATTTAACGTACGATAAATCTAAATCTCTTTAGATGTAAAGCTGAAGAGCTACTTGGACAGGTTGAAAACTATTTTTCTTTTTTCTTGTTGGATTAAACGAAAAGAATTTTACCAAATTATTATTCTGGCCAAGATCTAGTTTCATTCACTCAAAGCATCTCCTTCTAAAAAAATGTCACTTGATGTTTTCAAGTTTGTATTTTTGTCGTAAAACAACAAAACAAGACAAAGACATGAGATTAACAGCCTGAGACTCTATTCCTCTGTGATTTGGTGTTTGGTTATTAACTTTAAAAGAAATCAATTAAAAGAAAACACAAATACAACAACCAATTTTATAGAACTTGAATTAAGAAAGTAAACATGTCACATATTGATAATTCTGTGAAGGATAATATCGAACGAATCAATTTGGAGAAATGAAACACAAAAGAAATCCTGATGTATTTACAGCAGCAGTGGTTTTCACAGTCCCGTCAAACAAAGCTTGTGAGACCAGCGTCCCCTCTTTAAAGTTTGATCTCATGCACAGACATGTCGTCATCAGATTATTACTGATGCCATGCAGGTAGTAAATTCACAATTACGATCTCTGCCATTGTTTCAGGTTTCCCATAAGAGTCTCATTGTTTGAGCAAACCATAATTACTGACTGTCAATGTGTGCAAAAATTCCCCGAGCTTTAAATGAGAGCATTTCGAAATCTGAACGAAGAATCAACAACTCCTGCTCTCAAACTACAAACGTGGCTCTTGAATAAAGAGGTGTCTTATGTAACATGACGGAGGCGGAGACTGCCCCCTCGTCACCGGCTGCTTTATCTGCAGCTACACGGCCGGTTTTAAACGTTCCTGTGCGATGAGTGGACGTGTGTGGATCGGCAAAACATTTTCATTTCCTCCTGTGACTTGTATCTGTTCAGCGTGGTCACACTTGTGTCGTCCTCGATGCGTCTTGTTTCACAGCTTTTCTAACGTGGTCAAGTCGAAAAGGTGTTCATTAATTACCGATGCAACAAAGATGCTTGAACACACATAAGTAGAGAGTTGGGTTTTCCCTGGGCACGGTGCCGATGTCTCGTTATGTCATTTATGTTCGGGCGGTCAGACTGCTTCTGCAAGAGCTTCTCTATGTTTCAAATGTCAGGATGTTGTTCAAGCACAATGCTTCTGAATAGCAGAGGACTCGTCTGTTGACAGCGCTGACAGTAAACAGTCACACCTCAAACTCCGCGCTGCAAATTCTTGGTTCTGGTTCCCACAGTTGTGTCTGCACGGTTCACTCCCACAGCGAGACGAGGACCCACAATGCAGTTTGTCCTTTGCCAGGGTAACAGATGTATGAACAAAGTTTATATTTCACCAAAAGTCCATTTCAGTTCATTTTGCCGTTGCTCTTCTGTATATGTATGTATATGAGAGTTTTATTTTGTTAAAGGTACAGTGTGTCGAAAACGTGGCGGCCTCCGTAGAGAGGGTCCCCTCCATGTAAATATAAAGTATTTAAAATTGGAGTGAAAACCACATGAGGATTATTCTACATTAAATTTCTTATCAATTGTTCCCTCTCATCTAAATCTTACACACTGGAGCTTTAAGTTGTGTTTTTGTTCGGATGACCTCTAACCTCGATGTGAGGTCACTTCCTGTAACTTTCCCGCTATCTCACAGAGACGGAGGCGAAAAGAGAATAAAAACACCGTCCCTCGTTTGGAAAGACTCTGTAGTGTCAGCCAGACCGGCATCAATACTGATACTAGGTTCAAATAATGGCTTTGTGGTAATAATAATAATAATAATACAAATAATAATAACTGTATCTGTATTGCACTTATCTGAACAAAGTGCTTCACAAGAAAAATAATAGAATCCATGGCTAGAGGTGGTAAAGGTGTCTCTGTGTCTTAACCAGAACGTTCAGTTATTTCCATCCGTCTCATCCAAACTAAATAACTCACATCGTGTACCTTGTTACTTAACCGCACACCTTTCCTGCCTCGTAGTGATTTTCTTACCACTGCTCCATTTCCTTATTAAAATAATGAGAAACTTGTTTGATAAGAGGTGTTACATAACAGTGACTTCCTGTGTGATTGCGACTAATGAGTAAACAGTGCAACGCTAAAATGACAGACGAGTGTAAAACTCCCTGTTCTGCCAGAGTCTGCAAAAAGAAAAACATCATCGCGTGGAGTCGCTCTCTAATGTGCAGGACTCCTCGGACCGACGGGTTTTTGGAGATTTGTTTGATTTGATTTGATTTGTCATTTAAAGGTCCAGTGTGTAGAATTTAGTGCCATCTAGAGGTGAAGTGTGATGTTGCAGCTGAACATTCTAAGGTAAAGAAAACAACGAATCATACAATCGTCCACGCTGAACCTTAACGAGAAGATTCCTTTGGATCAGCATTAAAAGAGCTTATGTAACGCTGCCCCTATAGTTCCGCATGTTTCCAGCGAGACATTCTGTGACGGGACGATGTTTCAGTTGTACCATTAGTTTATGGTAAACCCACACCTGAGGACAGTGAGATAATCATGGCACTTAAGTGGCAGGTACTTTGTTACTTCATAATGAGGTAATGTCACTCAGAGGATTATCTAACGAAACAGAACCAGGTCAGTCTGATGGCTTTGTTCTAAACCTATAGAAATTGGTCAATAACTTTCATTGAGTTTTAATGTATAGTTTCTCTTCTGACCTCAGCACAGTTGAAATGGTGGCGTGTGCAGAGGCAACTCGACAACCATGTATTCACTGGTTTGTCGTACAGAAAAAACACATTTTAAGTGGCACCATTACACAACGTTGCGATTGACATGTTAAAGGGTTTCTATACCTGTCACACCTTATTTCTTTTTTTAGAATGCAAACAGTGGAAAGACGTGTCACCGTGTTGTAACTCTAAACGCATGAATACAACACGGGCTCTTCAGAGTTTCCGTGGTTTTTGTTTCTGGCAGAAATAAAAAGTCGGCATCAGTCAGAGAGCCGTTGAAAGAGGAAGAGCAGGACCCCGAAACATTCACTTATATTCATTTCTGCAGAAAAACATTTGCAGGATCAACAATCTTTCACGCACACGTTTCACGACTCTTTCACCAGAACACACGTTGAACTCGGCTTCAGGAGCATTTGGAGGAAATCAGAGGTTCTCTATTGCATTTGTGTGGAGCAAGACGATTATTAATCATTAGTTTGAGTTTAAGATTGAATTAATGACTTTTCGAGCCCTTGTGTTTTCAGGACTTACTTCCTCCCATTGAGTCCGATTGGTGACTAAAGGTCAAACTCTTGATTGACAGTTCTGTTCCTGCTTTTAAACTGAACTGTAAAACTTTAGAGGACAAAAAAAAAATCAATCAATACTTTTTTCCTTAATGAACTCTGCCTTAATCCAATCACTGAAATATAACCTTTAACTGGTGTTTCACACTCACACACAACTGGCAGACACTCAGCCTCTTTGTATTCGCTGCATGATTCAATTAAATCCTCGACACATAAGAGAAAACTCTCTGGTGCTGGATCATCGGCCCTGACGCCCAAGTCTGTGAGCAAGTTTGGACATTTTCTATATTATATTTTAATTAAAAACTATTTAATAAAAATGTTTTGTTTAATCCTGTTGTGAAGCACTTTTCAACTTTGTTCAGATAATTATGATAATGATGATTATTATTACAGAAATCAGACAAACTCCAAATGCAGTTTGCAAAAGTCTGGCAGACAAACACATATCATCTCAAAACATAACTTAAAATAGCTCGAAAGAAAAAACATCTCTTTACGTGTCACATGGTTTTTGGAATGAAACCCGACGTGCTGCTCGGTGCCAGCAGAGCGATGTGTTGACAGGAGCTGCATTGTTTGCACTGTGGACAGTGTTGATGCAGCCTCTCCCACATTCTCAGAGGCCTGAGTCAAAGCTGAACAAGGGTGAAAATGACTCAGAGTGTTTTGGTTTGAAGAAGCTTTATTTGGTAAATGGCAACGGTGGCTGAGACAGAGAATGTTGAACTCGTGTGAGATGAAAATCTTGTCGCAGCAATGGTTCCATCAGGTTGCAGGTCAATCAGGTTTAACAGGTCACAGAGGGCTGTTTTTTTAACTGTGTACATCCCGGGCTGGAAATACCCAGGTGCATTCCCCCCCCCCGACACACACACACACATGCAAAAGTTAGAAATTAAATGAATTAAATACGTCATTTTGTTCTGTTTACGTAAACTGTACACTGTGATCCAAATGTGACGTTCAGTATCAGATCTGTGTGTCGGATGACACTCATTGTCTAATAGTGTCATGATGTCACAGCGGCCATGTTTGTATCTTCACAGTTTATTTTGGGAGCGGGCAGGAGGAGAGGTTGTAACGGGGCTGCAGCGCCCTCTAGTGACAAGCGGCTGTAACTGTAATCAACAACAAAAAAAAAAAAGCATGGATCTTAAAAGAGCTCATACCTCCACCGACACACATGACGGTCTAGTTCCTATGGTACAAAATATACAGGGAACAGGAAGTGGTCTGATGATATAAGTAATTAGTTTGTCATAAAATATAGTTAAAGAAAGTGAAAATAATTCATTTGCACCAAATTATTTCCAGACCCAGGATCCAAATCTCCATTTTAAAAAAATCAAGATTCAGGATTTTTCTCTGTAAAAACAGTAAAATGTTCCTTCATTATCATTGTTATTATTATTATTATTATTTTATAAATCAAAAGGAGGAATAAAATAATAATATAATAAAAACTGTAAACATGGCCTATTGTAACTTCATAGTTTAGTCCCAGGCAGCCACCAGGGGGCGATAGATACACTTGAAGTACTTCTCATCACAGCTGTTGTTTGTAATTAGTTCATTGATGATAACAAGATGTGATGAAATGTCATGATTGGTCGAGCTCCGTCCTCTGATCACGACTGAGCGGGACAGTAAGGCCTCGTTTCTGGACAGTGTCCCCTGAGTCGAGACAGGTCGTCCGTCTTTATGTACAATCTGTTGTCGTCGTTGAAAAGACAAACTGCGGAGCGTTCAGCCCAATGAAGCGAAGTGCAAAACAATTGCATCCGTGAAACGATGGAGCTCGACTGTATCCGGTCTTTGCCTCCGAAGAAATTTCAAATCTCTGCTGCCGCTTCAGGGAATCAAACCCAATCCACGGGACAGATCACCAGCGGGGCGGTGTTCTTCCCGTTGTCATGGAGACAGGGGTTGAAGTAGGGATAGAGCGGCTCGTTGAACATGGACCCTCTGTACGTGTAGATATGAGTCTTTGTCTCCGCGTTGTAGAACGACACCGACCCCCCCTCGTAGTCCAGGAATATGCCCACTCTCTGCGGGGTTTCCCGGAGGTGGAGGGTGACGCAGGGGCTGGTGCAGGCGCTCAGGCTGCCTCCCTTACGCCTGCAGATCGCCCAGTAACCGCTGTCGGGACGCACCGTGATGGTTCCCTTTGTGTTGATGGACTCTCTGGCCACACCGAGATCCCAGTCGGTTTTATCCCCAACCTGCAAAACGTCGCAGGCAACGCCGGGCGTTAGAAAAAACAGCTAATATCAAAGATCCAATTAAAAGGAATGAGAATGTTTCAGCCACAAGAGGGCGTTAAGATTTATTTTGTGTTTTGTGTGTGTGTGTGTGTGTGTGTGTCTGTTTTAGTTCAATGAAATTGCTGAGCATCTTTACAGTCGTGAGGAATCACTTTTATTAAGATAAAGAAATTCATTAAGATTAGTAAAATAAGAGCCAGTGATGGTTGAGCTCTTATTGTGAAGGTGAACAAATTGTCATAGACCTGACCTGAACTTCCCAGTAGTGTCTCCCGGAGGTGAAGCTTTGTTTCCCCAGGATGGAGACGCACGAGTCGAACCTGCGGGGGGCGTCAGGGAGCGAGAGCTTCCGCTGCTTGCTGCTGAGACTCACCTGAGGATCATCATCGACCACATGAACGACATCTACCCATCATTCTCACTGCAGACACACTGATATGATGTCAAACTGTTGCAACACTGTCCTCAAGTCTGTTTCAGTCTTTTTACCTTTTTTCCATCGGGGGACAGAGTGAGCCAGCCCGAAGCCGTCTCAGGATCCAAAGTCACATCCACTGGAGACGGACATGAGGATAAAGTTATGACGAATATGATCATCGTCATTATTTTACACAATGAAATCCAAACCCGTACCTGCATGTTGACTTATTTTGTCCATTTCTGCGAAAGAAAGCAGAAGAGATGTCGTCAGTTGGTTCGTGACGCGACACGAGGAGCATTTGACAATAATCGAGTTTTTCTTTTGTCTCGAGCAGTTGAGGATGTACGACGGACAGACGGTAGAGTATGATTATCTTCACGTCTGGAACTCTGAGGCCACTGACCGTCTGAAAGCAGCTTCTTTTCAAGGTCGTGGCAGGTGTCCACCAGTTTGGAAAACGCTTTCGACACCGTCCCGATGTAAATGTCGGACTGGACTCTGACCTCGGACCAGTGTCTGGTGGACAGTGGAACACTCAGAGGGGGGAAACCCTGAAACAGGACGACAGCGATACACGTTCGTCACAAGGAGCAGTTTGTGTTTGTGTCGTATTTCTGTTAAATCCACAACACGTTAAAGCCAGTGAGAACATAGACTGCCTGATTGAGTGCCCCCTGGTGGCTGGTTGCAGGACATTGTATGTGCAGGACTAACATGCAAGAGGTGAAGAAGGTCCTCAGTGTTCTCCAGGGACCGCAGGCCCCGACATCTCCTCTCCAGCTCCTCGATCTCCTGCTGCAGCACCTGGAGTAACTCCTCCGCTCTCCTCTGGGCCGCCTCCTGCTTCTTCTCGATCTCCTCGATGAGCAAAGCCTGGCTCATCTCGATGGCACTGATCACCATGGTGAAGACCTGAACGCTCGTCTGTATCTCTCTGTCTGTCTGTGTCTGCAGATGTGACAGTAGCACAAATATTAAAATGGCACGAGTCACTGGATGAGATAAACTAAATGCACTCGAACATAAAGATGAAAACGTACTTTGCACTGCTCCACCGAGTTCTTGATCTCCTCAGTCTTCTTGATTCTGGTCTGGATCATCTGCTGAAAATCTGCCTCCGTTCTCCTGATCTGAGTCTGTGAAGGTTGGACATGAACTCATGATGCGATTCGTACAAGAAGCAACACTTCATGTGATATAGAATTTAAGAGTCAGTGTAGAAGACAGTATAATACGCCCCTCTTCTTCTCTAACCTTGATCCTCTTGCTCTCCTTCTCAATGGGGATCGTAGTGTGATGTTTGTGGTCCTTCGCGACGCATTTCACGCACACCGGCGTCTGGTCGTCCGTGCAGAACATCTCCAGGAGCTTGTGGTGATTCTTGCAGAGATGAATGAAGGTTTCCGGATCTGTGAGTCGGTGCTTCATCAACATCTGATCACTGAGGTGAGGTGTCAGGTGACTTTCACAAAACGACTTCTGGCAGACGAGGCACGACTTGACCGCCATTTGTGTGACTTCGAGGCAGATGTCACAGGGAACGTCGGTCTGCGACGGTTGTTTCATGATCGGCTTGTATTTGGGTTTGTCCTTCAGAGACCTTTGGATTTGATCAGATCTGGTTATTTTCAGTCAAATATAGAAAAGTGGCCAAAAAAGTTAGTTTGACAAGTTAAAAAATGAATCAACAGACCTCACGAAGTCGTTAGTGATGTCCCTCAAGCCAACGTTGATCCTGAGTTCTGGACGTTTTTTGAAGACTTCTTTGCAAATCGGACACAACGACTTGCGTCTCGTGTCCCAGAAGTGATTGATGCAATCCAGGCAGAAATTGTGTCCACATGGGATGGAGGTAGGATTTTTGAAGCAATCCAGGCAGATGCAGCAGCGGAACTGGTCCTCTGACAATGCGGAGGCCATGTCTGCAAAAATACTATGTTAAATATAAAGTTAATGTACAAATTATGTAGTTATTCCAAACAAACAGTCCGACATGTTGAGCAGGCACATTGTGCAGATCCAACGTAAAAAGCTAATATTCGAAGCTGACATTTAACTTCATTTGTCAAAAACTAAAACTAAAAAAAATGTATATGTTAAAGAAATGTATTCAAATTTGTGGAACAATTGGTTGAGAAATGATAATTATTATTATTATTATTTCGCCCACACACAATTACACAACATATGAAGACAAATAATAATTATATGCATCAGCATGGTTTGAATCAAAGCCACGCATCAGTGATAGGAACAATAGATGACAGCCTGTGTACAAACAGTAGCCGGGGCGAGTCCATGAAACAGTTTAATAACATGTTATTATTATCATGATTTAATATGTGTTATTCAAATAGATGCAGCTTCTCACAGGACGTGATAAAGTTTCCAGGGACTGAAGGTGTCTGAAGCAGAAGAAGTTAGCACGAGGTAAAAATGAGGATCTACTGTCGCAGCTGAAAAAAACCTTTTTTAAATTTGTTTAGTTTCGCAGATCGTTTAGAAACGTCAGGATGAAGAAACTATGTCACATTGATTTGTTTCACCAGAGTCTCTTTAATTATTCTAACTTAATTACACTGAACTTTTAATCCATCAGACCTGAATCTGTCGTCCTGGTCCTTTGGCATGAGAACGAACTTTAAGTTGAAGAAACACATGAGAGAGAGAATATCTCTCGGTAAATAAATAATAATTAAATATTTAACACGTGAGTATAATCCACGTTTTCTGTACATTAGCCGATACACAAATCACTGTAATAACAAAGCTCGTTATCTGACATCATCTAGAAACAGAGCTCCTGGAGTTTGTGCTGTCGCGAGCTCGAATATTAATTCAATTATTATTTTTTCTTTCTGCTACTTCGAAAGGAGAACGTCCACCACAGGTTTGGGAGTCGATCTTTTACCCATAAGTCATTGAGTATAAATCAAGTCTTACCTCTGTGGGTCGATGCGGAGACAGTCCTCAATATGCTGACTGTGGTTTCATGAATCGGTTTTAAAACAGCTGATGTGCTATGACGTGGATAATACGCTCCTCCCACAAATGTCTTTTGAGTTCAACAGGTATTTCTGGTTGTCCTTCGTCGCCTTCACCAGAATTCACTAGACATTTTAATTGTCTTCTGTGAATGATGTTTCAGAGATCAAACCTGAAACATCATTCAGCAGCCGCCTATGATATCAATCACTTCCACTTTTTAGGTTTTCTCTTCATCCATGAGTCCAGAACAGTCATGAACGAGTAAATCAATTCGACTACAGTAAAACTGGTTTTGAGGTTATTTCCCCTGCTAAAGAGTTTTCTGGTGGTTAGTCTGACTCTTGTTGAGAGTTAAGGGCAGAAGCTATCGCACGTGGTTGATTGATTTTAACGAGTGTTATCACCTTCTGTCAGTTCATTTGGAAGATTTACTAGCAAACATTTTACAGTTTACACATCCAGCAGTTATGGTACAAGACTGAATCTGGGGTTGAGTGTGTGGATCCCTGGAAACTGTGAGTCCAGAACTCTTTCACTTGTTTGTCTCCACCAGCTCCAGACGGATTCACCGAGGTCTTTAGCTGCTAAATGCTCCACCGTGTTTCCCAGCTAAAGATGAAGCTCCACCATTAGATTCTTGGGGCATTTTTAAAGAAGAGAAGAAACGTGCTGCAGCTGAAGAGGATGCTGTGTTGTGAGGGTGAAACGGTTGAAGTGTTGCAGTGTTTTCTTATTTATCTCACATTGTCATCTCACACGTTTCCATTAGGAGCAGTTTTAAAGTCTGTTTTCTGAGCAGCGGAGGGTCTCACAGGTGGATCACTACCTCGACGTTTGTGCGCTGGCGTCTAACGATGACACAACAAGGGAAATCCCCGGATTCCACTCGAGAGAAAATGACTCCATCAATCTTTTCTACCAAAGAGTTCTGAGGCGGCAAATTACAAAGCTGTGTGTAAAAGTTATTTCATGCCACTGGGGACAAACTGCACCCTGTAGTAAATTATTCAACTCTAATTATGTCACAGCACAAGTACTTGTGCATATTGAAATGAGCTGTGCCGGTACACTGCGAGTACAAATATAACTTTGGGGTAAATACGCTCCCATGTTACATTGGAAAGTTTTTAACTTCGACATGTTCTTGGATCAGGTATTTGTCTTGGCAGTCACTAAATAGTCTTTACAGTATGATTACATATGAATGGACTGGTCTTAATGGGATAATAAGCAGTCTGGCTGTACAAGTACATTTATCCACTTTAGAACTGGGTGGAGTACACAGAGCTGTGTGGTGCTCAGCGTCTTTCTGTCCATCCTCCGCTCCCATGCACGCTCTGTGATCAGTCCAGATCTACCACTGTTGCATTTCTTCCTCTCTTCTCTCTTCTTCTTCTTCTTCTTCTTCGTCCCTCCAGTCAGGAATGTTTTAAAAACACGCACCTCACTTGGTAGAAGACGTTTTGGGACAAGGGCCAGAAAAAACAGGTTTCTCTCTCTTTTAACGACGTGACGCAGGGAAGGTTTTTTTGTTGTTGGTTTTTTTTGACACTTGAATTCCCAGAGAACCATTCATGTTTGCTGAGTGTCGTTAACGATGGAATACAAACAAGAACCTTTGCGTCCAAGTGGAAAGATCCAACTCGATGAATCTGACGAGGGAGTTTGTGTTTGTCCAGAGGGAAACATCTGGGAACAACGTCAAAGAAGGAACTACTTGTGCTTTGATGCTGTAATTAGCAACTTCATACCTGATGATAAAATGTGGATGAACAAGTGCACAGATAAGATAATGAGTCGTCGTGAAGATGTTATCTCCTTCTTCATGGTTCCTTCAATGTGGGAGTTCCACAGTTCGACCCCGATGGAAAACATCCTGAGGAGAACGGATGAGGAGTTGAGAGAAGTATTCAGGTGCTCCTCCAGTTAAACATATTAAATAATAACTTCAATTCACAGTAAAGCTTCCTCCGAGCACCATCGTTCTACAGAAAGAGACAATTTGAGTCTCAAGAAATGATTAATAATTAAATCAATAACTATGATAAAAATGACCATATCAGCAGACGAAGGATGTGAAGTTCACCTCAAAGGTTTATTATTAGTGAAGACAGCGTGTGCGTTCAAGAGAAACATTCATCACGACAGAAATAAAAGTATAAACACACAAACTAAAGGTACTTGCTGCATACAGAGGAGTATGAGACAAACAGGAAACACACACTAATGAAACATCACACTAATTAAAATAACTGTTGTGTGACGGGCTCTTGCTGGTTTGTGTCTCCTGTTGTTTCTGCCTCAGTTCTGCTGGGAGGTCGAGAGAGCGTGGGGGAGGGAGAGTGTCTCCCTGGCTGGAGGAGCAGGAGAGATACACCCACCTCCTCCTCCAGGAGAAGAGAGAGAGAGAGAGAAGAGGGGGAACTGGTGACGTCATGGGCCCCGAGGAACACAGTGACCAACAGGAAGTAGAAGAGATGTGGCTTCACGTCGGAATGACAGGGTTAATAAATCAGATTACACAGAGCGAACCGGCAACGACTCAGACTGTAACAATATAAGAAAACAGACTGACGCAATAATATGATAATATGAGCAAATATACAAGAAGAGAAAGTTTAAGCCACAAAAATATGAATATAATAAAAACCAAAATTGAGCAGAGGGTCAGAGTAAATTCGATTTTTTGGGGTGTGTCTGTGGGTAGTCTAACGCCACCCAGTGGAGCAGTCTGAACATCGCGTGATATTATGTTTAATTCACTCATTTCATGAAGGACACAATTTTAAAAATCAACTTATTGAACAAAATATGGATTTTTCACGATTTATAAAATATTCCGGATTGTCCTCGTGTCCTGGTTTATGAGCTGTTTTCAAAAAAGCCGGAGTAAAATTGATTAATTGGTGTTTTTCTGAAGCTTTAAATGCTTAAATGGACATTTGCACAGATGCATTGTTGTTGTTGTTGTTGTGTGTCTCCGGCAGTGTCACAGTGTGCGGAGACACAACATTTGTTAGTGAGATCATCTGTTTTACATCTGTTTTGAGATCAGGGCTTCAGTTCGTCCACGCTCCGTTTAAAAAAGTTCTATCAGCATTTCAGGATCTTTCTTTTGTCATTCGTGTTTTCGCCCAGAACACATTTTTAGATTTAAGTCTGGTTTAGATTAATATTCTGTAAATGTTCACGTCTTTAATCTCAGTTCTCTTCTTCTTTGTGGAAGATGTTTTCATCAGGCTTTTTAATCCATGCAGCTCTGAAACCTTTGGTCATCCCTCTCTTTTTCAGAGTTTCCTTTATCTGGAAAACAAAAACAACATTTCAACAATAAAAAAGTGGTGAAATGATTCTAGAAAAGATTTTTACCACACAGCTATGGAACTGTATCGGGTTAATTGTCGTAGATTTTGTCGCTCACACAGAAATATTAACATAAATCTATAAACCCGCGTGTGTAATGTAAGAAAGTTACCATATTCAAGATGGCGTCTGTCACATCAGGGTCGTTCAGGTCGATCGTGGATTTCAGAACTTTCACCTTAATGTAAAACAAGTGCTTCTCTTCTGATAATGAAAAAGAAAAGTTAGAAATAGATTCAAACATGTATATATATCTATATCTATATATAATTTGATGGCTGAACATAAACTACCAGGACATTATTTCACAGTTCCATCGATGAAATAGAGGACGCAGGGTTTATGACCTATGCTGCAGCCAGCCACCAGGGGGGGGTCTACATCGATTTGGCTTCAATTTTCCGGGAGACGATGGTTCGAACGTTTCTGTGTTTAGGAATAATAGAAATGAACTCACTCCTCTGGCACATGAAGTGAAATCGAGCATCACAGGGTTTTTCCATCCACTTTCCATGGTGACGGTCGCCAATCCTGCTGATCACGCAGCTCCCAGTTCCAACCACTTCTGGACGTCCCTCTATCCAGTTTCCAAATGAAGAGCGAGTTCCCTCTGAGTTGTCGAAAAAGGGGTTTCTGAAGAGGCCGATCGAGGCCCGCTGGCCACTCGGTACCGACTTCTGGATCAACGCATTCTCAGTGGCGTTGCGGACACTGGCCAGGTCTGTGTGGTGCAGCCTGCAGTAAGCCTGAGCTTGGTTCCAGGACGTCTTATCGTTTACGTAGACGTATCTTTGAATGGAAATGTTCGGCAAGTCTGAAAGAATTTTTAAAAGGTCAGACACTGGAAGTTTACTCTGGACTTAAAGATTTTCATCAGCAAATAACACGACATTTATTTTTCTAGATCA